ATCTGAAGCTAACTTCAGCGACATGTCTTAAGAGACGTCCGGCTAAATCCAAATGTTTCTAGTTCTAGGTCTAATGTTAGTTCTAGTGACAGCGCAAGTGTAAACTAGAACTAACACTATACCTAGACTCATTTAGGTTTAGCCGTCTTTAGAGACGTGCGGAACCCAAATGATTCTAGTTCTAGGTATAATGTTAGATCTACATAGTAATAGTGTAACACTAGAAAACTAACACTATATCTAGAACTAGAATCATTTGGGTTTAGCTGTCTTTAGAGACGTGCGGCTAAACCCAAATGATTCTAGTTCTAGGTATAATGTTAGATGTACATAGTAATAGTGTAACACTAGAACTAACACTATATCTAGAACTAGAATCATTTGGGTTTAGCCGCCTTTAAAGATGTGCGGCTAAACCCAAATGATTCTAGTTCTAGGTATAATGTTAGATCTACATAGTAATAGTGTAACACTAGAACTAACACTATATCTAGAACTAGAATCATTTGAGTTTAGCCGTCTTTAGAGACGTGCGGCTAAACCCAAATGATTCTAGTTCTAGGTATAATGTTAGATCTACATAGTAATAGTGTAACACTAGAACCAACACTATACCTAGAGCTAGAATCATTCGGGTTTAGCCGTCTTTAGAAACGTAAGGCTAAACCCAAATGATTTTAGTCTAGGTATAGTGTTGGTTCTACATAGTAACAGTGCTAGTGTAAAACTAGAACTAACACTAGACCTAGAACCACAAACATTCGGGTTTAGCCATGCGTCTCTTAAGACGGCTAAACCTGAATGTTTCTAGTTTTAGGTCTAATGTTAGTTTTAGTGACAGTGGTAGGTAACGCTAGTTAGCATAAAATATCACTATATTGCATATTTTTATTGAACTAACACTAGACCTAGAACTAGAAACATTCGGGTTTAAGAAAAATAATAATTAAAATTATATGTTCATTACTTGGTTGGTCAACTGTAATTTTATAAATCTGAACCCTAAACTTTATAGGTCTAGTGTTAGTTCTAGTTTTTATTGTTATGCAGCGCTAGACCAAGAACTAAAATCATGCGTGCTCACTCGTGTTTAGCCGTCTTCAGAGACGTGTGGCTAAACCCAAATGATTGTAGTTCTATGCAAAGAAATTGTATATATAGAAGCTGCATCGCCTATGTTCGCCCGTATACCGGTTTGAAGCCAACGCAAGAGCATTTGTTTGCAAACAAAATAGACCTTGGTCCTAGCGACAGTGGCGTGTACGAATTAGATGAATTTGGTCAGACTTTATTCAGTGGCGTATCCAAAGAGCATCCTAATTTCATATATAAAATTACAATCACAAATTAATTGTTAAACTAACTACCAATTGAAAAACTATTGCCGTAATAATTTTATAAATTGTAGAATGAATTTTTTTCTATATCTTTGTCATGTTTTAATAAGATTTTAAAATATTAAACACAATAAATACAATCTTGTAATCTTTTAAATTAATCAGAGGACCTAGAAACAATATACATACTTGGTAAACGATACAAGTATGTACTATTTTGATTGATAAGTTCTATTTCTAACTAAAAGTAGTGGTATCCTAAATGTATAAATATATATAAACAAAAATGAAGAAAAACGAATCGAAAGAAGAACGACTTAGAAGATTTATTGATTCGCAAATAGGATTCGTTATTTTAGTGTATGTCTTATTCTAGGGGCTAAAATAATATTCGGGAGTGTTCGGCGATAATCGGCCGATGGTCCGATCTGTGCACGTTCATTGTTTCAACTGGTTTCGACAAAGGTTGTTAGTAAACAAACCGCGTGTTGCGTTGGCTTCAAGTTTTAATGTTTACAACTGTATATATACAATTTCTTTGGTTCTATGTCTAATGTTGGTTCTAGTGACAGTGCAAGTGTAAAACTAGAACTAAAGATGAGTTTAGACATGCATAGATTTAGTGCCGCCAGTAGTTACGCCAGTTCTATTTGCACGTCAGTAAAGTCAGTTTACACTACATGAGCGAAAACAAAAATAAGTGACATGAAAGTTTTATTTTTAAAGTGCAACCATATACACAAGTTAGGACCTCAACCGAAACGAAAATAGATATATTTTAGGTTTAATTTGGATAATTGAACGTTATCTATCGTTGAATGTGTTAACGTTATTGGGATTTAATTTGACTCATCTATGTTGTCATGGTTACATGTTTTTATACTCGTCACTGGCGCCAGTGATTTCAGAAGGGTGCAGACTTTTCCGATCCATGCATACATGATTTCAACTTGCATGCCAGCTGATGTTTACACATGCAATTTAATTTTACTGGCCCGCCAGTTTTTATTGGCGCCACTAAATCCATGCATGTCTAATATCACTAGAACTAAAAACATTCGAGTTTAGCCCTAGTGACAGTGGTAGGTAACGCTAGTTAGCATAAGATATCACTATGTTGCATGTTTTTATTGCACTAAAACTAGAATAAACACTAAACCTACAAACATTCGGGTTTAGCCGTACGTCTCTTGAGACGGCTAAACCCGAATGATTCTAGTTCTAGTTTTATACTATCACTACAACCAAGGGCGTCGCCGGAGAGGGGCAGAGGGGGCCCACTGCTTTCGAGAACTGAACAACTATCGAATGGGATGCCATATTTTGATCTGGAAACCAAGGAAGTTCAAGAAGTATTCCACGGATTCGTCAAACTTGATGCTTTGGATGCGAAATGTATTGCAAAAGCAATAGATGAGTTTTCGGCAGAAGAAGATCTTAATCCCGACAAATGTGTTGGTTTAGGATTTGACGGTTGTTCGACGATGTCCGGGAAAGAAGGTGGTGTGCAAGCAATCCTACGCAGAAAATATAAAAAAGTTTTGTGCTTTCATCAAAGATATTATTACATTTTTTCAAGAATCAGTTTTGAGACGCAAATTGATACCAAATGTTTCCAAGCTTTGCGAAACAAGGTGGAGCGAGAAACACAAAAATATTAGTGTTTTTAATGAGAATTTTCCTATTGTAATGGAGGCCTTTGAAACCTCGTCACGGGAAGAAAATAAGAATAAATAATGCGATTAGAAAAAATACTTATCAGCTCCATGTAGCAGCTTCTAGAGTTTCGTTTATTCTCAGCTTTATTTTGATAGCCAAATACTCGGCTATGATGGAACCTGTGGTAAACGTGCTCCAATCCGTAGCTTTGAATGCAATTAAGGCATCCCAGCACATTAGCCGCCTTTTGGAATTTATAGAAAACCACCGTAACGGTCCAAAAAACGTCACGAATGGAATGATTAGGGACGCTACTATCGTCGCAGAAAAACTTGGACTGGGAGAAGACATGAAGTCGTTGCCCCGTATTGTTGAGAGACAACAACATCAGAACAACCACCCAGCGGCAAGCCCCTCAGAATTCTTTTGAAGTTCGCTTTTCTGAAGAAAACACCCCGTCATTTTCCTTATCTAAATTACACCCAGCTCAAAAGTTAGACATGTCCCTTGAAGACCTCGTAGAAGCTGGTGAAGTCTTTTCCCAATTTTACAATTTATCAAATATCAACAACGAAATCGAACAATGGAAAAAACTATGGCAAGATAAACCTGACTCAAAAGAAGTAAGTGTTGTGGATGTCATAAAAGATGCCGACATTTTTTTCCCTGAAATGAGAAAAGCCTTTATAATTTTGGTCACTTTACCCTGCACGACATATACTGTTGAACGATCTTTTAGCAGCTTGAGGACAATAAAACCTGGCTTAGAAGAACTATGACAGAATGTCGTCTCAATTGTCTTCCCATGATGAATGTGTATAGGAAGCATATTTTTGAAAACTTTGAGGGTTTTATTAATAGTCTGGTTGACCAATTCGCGAAGAAGCCAATAAAATTATGTTTTAAATAATTTGGTGTTATTTTTCAATTTTTTTGTCGTGCCTCCCCTGGCCCACTGGCTGGCGACGCCCTTGACTACAACTAACACAAGACCTAGAACAAGAAACATTGGAATTTATCCGCACGTCATTCAAGACGGCTAAACCCGAACGATTCTAGTTCTTGTGTTAGTTCTAGTTTTAATTCTTATTCAGCGTTAGATTGTGGTACGTCTACGACAAGTAGAACTAACACTAAACCTAGAACCAGCAACATTCGGGTTTAGCCATGCGTCTCTTAAGACGGAATCTCAGAGTTATCATAAGGACGTCACCTTTTTTAAGCAAAACGTTTTCTTTGCAAAACTACCCAATGCCTGTACTATGAAGCTATGTTGCATTTTATATGGGACAGTGCAAGTGCACAGTAGTTTTGTAACTATGATTACTGCATTCATATATTGCGAGTTATATGAAACACCCGGTATAAAAAAAAACAATCAAAAAAATCCTCTTTGTCTTCATACACGACAGGATGTTTAATAATAATGTTGTTATTTTAATATTTTGTTAATAAGTATTCGTGTATAAGTGTATTTTATAATTATGCTTTAAAAGTTTTGAAACTTCATATTACTATTTCGATTTTCTTTTTCCAGAGTTATCAAGGATCTTAAAATTTGTGGCGAATTCAATCTAATTCTGGGTAAGTACTCAAAAAGAAATTTCTATTACAATAAAGCTTACAAAAGCTTCTGATCTGCAGAGCTTAAAAGATTTAAACACAAACTATATAAATACGAAAACTTTGCAAACAGATCAAAAGATTATTTGGTAATAATTATTACATTTTGCTTTAAAACAAGTTGTCCTATTTGTTTGGCTCACTATTTTCATTATAATCTTATATTATATACCATTTAACAATTAATTAAAAGTTTAAAACATAAAATTTAAACAATCAGCAAATACATTACAAGTACAAAATGTGTAACAATACCTAAAAAGATTTAAAAAGTATTTGTTATAACTAACATGTTTTAAATAAAAATGATTTAGTTTCAAAACTTTTAAACCATCTAATACACAAGGTGGTAAATACAATAAATCACCCTGTATACTAATATAATTAAATAAAGGTGTTATATTCATCTCAATTCACGTATTTAGTGTACAATGTGCGGTTCTTAAAATGCCTTAAAAATCAATCCTTATTAGTTACAATTAGAATTTCGTGGCGTCGATTGTGTTCGTTTATATTTTTATTATTAACTTTTTGCTTTTTTAAAGTGTATTTACCATATTTTAAGTCGATACCTTTGAGCAAACAGATCTCGTAATAATAATCAGTGACGATTTTTTTTATTTTTTCTTTGTATCATGTCCGGTTCAGTCTTATGAATTGTAATTAATCAATTGGCTTCAATTTTCATTGCTTTATCATCATCAATTTTCTTTGTAATTAATCTTTTTTTTTAAAATTTTTATTACTGCGTATTAGCAGATTCGGCGGCTGCCTCTTTTTCTTGATACAACCTCAACAAATCCATCGCATCTTGCGCCTGACGTTTCTCACTGAGATACCTTCCGGAAGCTTCTTTGAGTTGCTCCAAAAAGATTTTATCCGGAAAGGTGATGTCAACGATTGAATCGGGATCCATATCACTTAATAATTCTAATTCGGGCCCTCCCAATAACGAAACGTGACACAAATTACTTTTTAATTTTCCAACTAATCCTGCTAATTCAGGCCCGGATTTCCCATCGTCTAATTGATCCGTACTAATCCTGCAATGAGGTAATTGTGGGGCCCACTTTTGATCCTCCGATAGCGCCATTAAGTTTGTATGGGGGTCCAATGTAGCGAAATATTCGTCGTCGTCGATTTCCGTACCATCATTTTCTAATACTATCGTTATTTGACCCATCGTACCCAATTTTTCACGAATTTTTAAGGTTAGGTCTTCCAAAGAGTTTGCAACCACACCTTTTCTATGTTCCCGGGCGTAGTCGGTGATTTTAAAGGGTTTACCCGCTGTATCTAAACCGTCGTCCATTTGATTTTTATTATAAAATCGGCTATTTGTTGGGTTTATTTAAATTGGCGTCTTTAATCCGGCAGTGATTATTTTGATGTAGTTATAAAAAAAACTCGACGATTTTCACTACAGTTCCGCAACACAACTAACTTTTGATCGGATGGATTTTCTCTTCATTCAAGGGTCGCGCATGCTTCCAGAAGGTTTATCGATTTTCCGTATGAGATGAGTTTAAAATATGGGTAAAGAGGTAAAGTGGATGTTACTTGTTATAATTAAAATAGTTTTTGTTATAAAGATTTATTTTAAAATCTATTTTTAATTTAAATTTGAGGTTAATTTAGGTTATGTTTGAATTGTTTATAAACGTCAAAAAAATTATACTGCCACCTATTCAATTTGATATGAGTTAATAAATTATTGTTGGAGCTTTTATTTTATTGATTTAAAAGTTTTTTTATTTGTTAATTTTTAATTTATAAATACTGATACAATTCTTTATTATTTAATAAAAATAATTCTAAATTTAAACGTAAAAAAGAATAAATTTTATTACGCCATCTATTGGGCTATCTTGAAATTAATTAAGTTATTTAACTTTATACTTATTTTTTGATATTGAGTTTAAAATGTAGGTAAAGAGGTAAAGTGGATGTTACTTGTTACAATTAAAATAGATTTTGTTATAAAGATTTATTTTAATATCTATTTTTAATTTAANTTATAAAATCGGCTATTTGTTGGGTTTATTTAAATTGGCGTCTTTAATCCGGCAGTGATTATTTTGATGTAGTTATAAAAAAAACTCGACGATTTTCACTACAGTTCCGCAACACAACTAACTTTTGATCGGATGGATTTTCTCTTCATTCAAGGGTCGCGCATGCTTCCAGAAGGTTTATCGATTTTCCGTATGAGATGAGTTTAAAATATGGGTAAAGAGGTAAAGTGGATGTTACTTGTTATAATTAAAATAGTTTTTGTTATAAAGATTTATTTTAAAATCTATTTTTAATTTAAATTTGAGGTTAATTTAGGTTATGTTTGAATTGTTTATAAACGTCAACAAAATTATACTGCCACCTATTCAATTTGATATGAGTTAATAAATTATTGTTGGAGCTTTTATTTTATTGATTTAAAAGTTTTTTTATTTGTTAATTTTTAATTTATAAATACTGATACAATTCTTTATTATTTAATAAAAATAATTCTAAATTTAAACGTAAAAAAGAATAAATTTTATTACGCCATCTATTGGGCTATCTTGAAATTAATTAAGTTATTTAACTTTATACTTATTTTTTGATATTGAGTTTAAAATGTAGGTAAAGAGGTAAAGTGGATGTTACTTGTTACAATTAAAATAGATTTTGTTATAAAGACTTATTTTAATATCTATTTTTAATTTAAATTTGAGGTTAGTTTAGGTTATGTTTGAATTGTTTATAAACGTCAAAAAAATTATACTGCCACCAATTCAATTAGATATGAGTTAATAAATTATTGTTGGAGCTTTTATTTTATTGATTTAAACATTTTTTTATTTGTTAATAATTTATAAATACATATACAATTTTTTTATTATTTAACAAAAATAATTCTAAATTTAAACCTAAAAAAGAACAACTTTTATTACGCCATCTATTGGGTTGTCTCGAAATTAATTAAGTTATCTAACTTCAGACTTATTTTTTGAAATTGAGTTTAAAATGTGGGTAAAGAGGTAAAGTGGATGTTACTTGTTACAATTAAAATAATTTTTGTTATAAAGATTTATTTTAATATGTATTTTTAATTTAAATTTAAAGTTAATTTAGGTTATGTTTGAATTGTTTATAAACGTCAACAAAATTATACTGCCACCTATTCAATTAGATATGAGTTAATAAATTATTGTTGGAGCTTTTATTTTATTGATTTAAAAGTTTTTTTATTTGTTAATTTTTAATTTATAAATACTGATACAATT